GAAAGAGAAGATACTGAATATATCTTAAGAAAATATACACAATAATGACTATCATGATTATTTTCTATATAAAAATAATAATTCTGGCATACCTCCATAGGTGATGATCGAACAAGTATTTCATTTGCCTCTCTTTGATCTAATTCTTCCATGATATTTATTTTGTCATTTGGTACTGATGAGGTGACATTCACAGCATCACTGGTGTGTACATTTGTGGAGCTTAAGATTTCTTTGACTAAGTTTTTATTTTCTTCAGTCATTCTATCTGGAAGGATTGTGATGCGCCTTTGTGATTCTTCTGTAAAGAAGCAGTGCACAATAAATAAAGAGAAGAGAGTTATTGATTATTTATGACAATTATAATAAATACCTTTTAATACATCAGCCATTACCCACCAAGGTAGGGTGACCCGAAGAACACACATTCACTAGCATTCTTTCTTCAGCTGTCCATCCAGTAACCCCCCCCCCCATCCCCAAGAAAAAAAAAGTAAAAAAATTATAACCTGATTTTGAGGAATCCTCTTTAAAAATCAATATGAAAAAGTTTATCTACATATCAGTTATTTCAAATGGCAAATTATTATTCTGAAGGCTAGTATAGCAATATAGTGAGGTGATAGTTCAAATATACCTCTCTGGAAATGCAACCATATATGGAATGAAAAATTTAAGTAGCCTACATGTCAAAAGCAGCACTGTACCATAAGTGTCACTGTTAGACTGTTAGACTACTTGCTCATTATTTCCCATAAAAATTCCTGGCCATCAGTCTTTTCCTTCCACTCTCGATATAGTTTTATTTTCAACACTTACGAGCAACAACCAAATGTTTTTAACCTTAAACTGGCAAAAATAAAAATTCCTCTGTGGAGCAAAATTCTGGATATAAAAAATTCATACATTTTAAAAAGGAGCATTTTTCCGAGAGAATAAAACAAAAAGTAACAACTGGTTGAAACTTTCAATTTTAACCCTTAAACTGTCCAAACAGATCTATGTTCACATGCATAGTGCTCCAAAAGTAGATCTACGTTTTTTACACATTTTCAAATACAAAAAAAAAAAAAAAAAAACGTAGAACAAAGTTTCTTTTTACACGTTTTCAAATGTAAAAAAACAAAACGAAGATCTACGTTTTTTACATACTTTCAAATGTTGAAAAAACGTAGATCTACGTTTGGACAGTTTAAGGGTTAAGGTGCACTGAAGTTGGCAAAAGATGATCATATATTAGCAACAGCAGTATATATGCACCAGCAATTTTTACATTGTATAATTTAATGCCAAATTATGGCTTTTTTTTTTTAACTGTTTATTGCTGTTTATGTCTAACATGATGTACACTAATTTTTTAATATATTAGATGTGTTTTCAAGGTGTTTCAGTACTTCAAACATAGGAAAATGCATATCCAACATTGCTCCTTATATCTCTAACTCTCTCAGATATCCATGACCCAATAAGATTAACTTCTCCCCACAAACTTTCCTACCACCTTCAGCTTTGTTTCACTTTGAGCCAAGATATCCAGCTTTTTTCATACAAAACATTCACAATCATCTCCTTATCTACACTACATCCATGCACATTTAAATGTCCCAATTTATTTTTAGTAATTTGTATAGAAGAGTATCAAGAGCCCCTTTATCTAGGCATCTAAGTCAGCTTTTACAATACACATTGCTTATGGAGGAAGGGTTCTTATTTCACTTCCCCATAGAGATTTTTTTTTTTCAACAAGTCGGCTGTCTCCCACTGAGGCGGGGTGGCCCAAAAACAAAGAAAATCCCCAAAAAGATAATACTTTGATCATCATTCACTATCACCTCACTCACACATAATCACCGTCTTTGCAGAGGCACCCAGATACAACAGTTTAGAAGCATATATAAAGATATATAACATACCCCTCCAAACTTCCAATATCCAAAACCCCTCCTTTAAAGTGCAGGCATTATACTTCCCATTTCCAGTACTCAAGTCCGGCTATATAAAAATAACCAGTTTCCCTGAATCCCTTCACTAAATATTACCCTGCTCACACTCCAACAGCTTGTCAGGTCCCAAAAACCATTCGTCTCTATTCACTCCTATCTAATATGCTCACACATGCTTGCTTAAAGTCCAAGCCCCTTGCCCACAAAACATCCTTTATCCCCTCCTTTCAACCTTTCTGAGGACAACCCCTACCCAGCCTTCCTTCCCCTACTGATTTATACGCTCTCCAAGTCATTTTACTTTGATCCATTCTCTCTAAATGACTAAACCACCTCAACAACCCCCTCTTCAGCCCTCTGACTAATACTTTTATTAACTCTACACCTCCTCCTAATTTTCACACTGAATTCTCTTCATAATATTTACACCACACATTGCCCTTAGACAGGACATCTCCACTGCCTCCAGCTGCCTCCTCGCTGCAGGATTTGCAACCCAAGCTTCACACCCATGTAAGTGTTGGTACCACTATACTTTCGTACATTCCCTTCTTTGCCTCCATGGATAACATTTTTTGTCTCTACGCACCACTCACCTTTTTCTTTTTTTTAACAAGTCGGCCGTCTCCCACCGACGCAGGGTGACCCAAAAAGAAAGAAAATCCCCAAAAAGAAAATACTTTCATCATCATTCAACACTTTCACCTCATTCACACATAATCACTGTTTTTGCAGAGGTGCTCAGAATACAACGGTTTAGAAGTATATACATATAAGATACACAACATATCCCTCCAAACTGCCAATATCCCAAACCCCTCCTTTAAAGTGCAGGCATTGTACTTCCCATTTCCAGGACTCAAGTCTGGCTATATAAAATAACCGGTTTCCCTGAATCCCTTCACTAAATATTACCCTGCTCACACTCCAACAACTCGTCAGGTCCCAAATACCATTCGTCTCCATTCACTCCTATCTAACACACTCACGTACGCTTGATGGAAGTCCAAGCCCCTTGCCCATACAACCTCCTTTACCCCCTCCCTCCAACCTTTTCGAGGACGACCCCTACCCTGCCTTTCTTCCCCTACAGATTTATACGCTCTCCATGTCATTCTACTTTGATTGATTCTCTCTAAATGACCAAACCACCTCAACTACCCCTCTTCAGCCCTCTGACTAATAATTTTATTAACTCCACATCTTCTCCTAATTTCTACACTCCAAATTTTCTGCATAATATGTACCTCATCCTTCATAAACCCCTCGGCTGACAAGTTAACTCCCAAATATCTGAAAATATTCACTTCTTCCATATTCCCTCTCTCCCTCTAAAATAGAATAAAACTCAGATGGGTGTGTACACATACATGTATACATGCATGTGTAAATGTAAGTAGAAGTAGCAAGATGTACCTGTTATCTTGCATGTTTATGAGACAAAGAAAAAGGCACCTAAAATCCTTTCCATTCTGTAAAACATTTATGGACTGTGTGTTTAATTGAAATATTCAATATAACAGAATTTTCAGCAAATGAGACACTACCCCCCCACCATTAGTCCATTTTATCGGAATTTTACTGTATTACATTAGTATATTTAAGTTCAAGGTAATTTCTGTATTCGTAACACTTGTGTGCCTTCAAGATCACCGTAAAACATATATGACATGACATTACAATTGTTTCAAAGTGTAACACTAATCAAAACTTTAAAGCAAGTCATACTGTTTGACTATATTGGGTTATCCCAATATGTGCTTTTTGGACGAATTCCACTGTTAGTATCATGAAATTATAAAAAAAAACTGGAATGACTAAGGCATCTTCGTGTCAGTTCCACATTCTCTTTACTGGTTGGGAAGCTGGTGGTGGAACAACAGACAATTGTTCGTTTACTTGTACTTTTTAGGCAGTGTTACCAATGATGCACTGCCTGGTCTAAGATTTCTTTCAAAGGTATGAAGAGTTTGTAGAAGACCCAAACAGTTGTGCTGAGGACAAAAATATTGGAAGGTGGAATACTTGTAGGCATAAAAAATTGTGTGTATTAGTACACTGGACACCTGCATATCAGTACAATGAAAACAGTTTAAAGAGTTAACTTGAGAATACAATGTCACACACAGTACAGAAAAAGCCCCATGAAATTAGGTGGGTGATAGTTTCAGTCTTAAGGGTGTACATCTGTAAGGATACAATTATAAAATAATATTAAGTTTGTTCCAGGGTTTGAATCTATTATAAATCATACACAAAAAAAATTCTAAACTTTTATGTCATTCAGTTCTGATGGACTTTAAGCTAAAAATTCTTACCAAAAGGCAAATTATTAATATCCAGTAATCCCTTAATATCCACAGCTACTATTTTCATCGACTTTAGACAATCGTGAAAGGTTTCCTCAGAAAATAGCAAATGTAGAAGTCAACTCTGACAGATTTTTTTTGTTTTCTTATAATGGACAAATATTACAAATAATAGAGGTATTACACTAAATTTTTTTAAAAGATGGAGCTTAGGAAAGCCAGGAACATAGTTATAATTTCTCTTAATTTACTGTAAGGAGTAACCCTAGTTACTATGTTGTAAATAATGAGGGATTACTTTCAATGTATTGTGTCATTAAAAATCTTACCATTACTACATGGGTCAAAATAGTATCCACTCTTATCCATCATCTTCAGTAATCTTCTTACACTAGCAGCTGTTGAAGGCTTAATATAAATAAAGAAAACAGGCAATGACCTCCCCAAATGTACAAGAATCTTCACAACACTTTTGATAGGAATGTCAAATGTTACTGAATCACCAGAATCTGAAAAAAGAATACATGAAATAAATATGCAAGTTTGAATTTCCTTTAATGCATAATTATGCCAAAATTATTATTCATGTGGAAGTACTCAGCTTTATTATAAGTGACTGAGGAATGGAGGTAATCAAGTCTAACCAAACATAGGGTAGCTTGTGCTCCTTGGATCAGAAGCCTTTCACCAGCAATGTATTTACTAATCTTAAGATGTCCAAGTTTGTCTCATTGTTTCTTTCTTTCTTTCAACACACCGGCCGTATCCCACCATGGCAGGGTAGCCCAAAAGGAAAAAGGAAAGTTTCTCCTTTAATATTTAGTAATATATACAGGAGAAGGGGTTACTAGCCCCTTGCTCCTGGCATTTTAGTCTCCTCTTACAACACGCATGGCTTACGGAGGAAGAATTCTGATCCAATTCCCCATGGAGATAAGAGGAAATAGACAAGAACTAGAAAGAAAATAAAAGAAAACCCAGAGGGGTATGTATATATATGCTTGTACATGTATGTGCAGTGTGACCTAAGTGTAAGTAGAAGTAGCAAGACGTACCTGAAATCTTGCATGTTTATGAAACAGAAAAAAGGACACCAGCAATCCTACCATCATGTAAAACAATTACAGGCTTTCGTTTTACACTCGCTTGGCAGGACGGTAGTACCTCCCTGGGCGGTTGCTGTCAACCAACCTACTACCTAGGTGTCTCACTGTTATATTACATTAATGTAGTGTGTATGTACTCTACCTGTGGATTAGCCAGGCTACTGGTTTATGTGACCTATGCGTTCAAATAATGATCATAACCTTATAGAATCACACACACACATAGGAACCTGAAGTTTCTTTTTCAACACCCTTCCCTTAATTTTTTATTTTTTTAAAACATCAGCCATTTCCCACCAAGGCAGGGTGATCTAAAAAGAAAGAAAAACCCAAGAAAGAAAAATGCTTTCATCATCATTCAACACTTTCACCAAGGACGGCTCGTCCACAGGAGCTGCAGTCCCCCCAGATGCTCACTGCCAGACATATGACTTCATCAACCTTATGCTAAAATAATTTGCAACTGACAAATATATAACAGGAAAAAATCTGTTGTATGTTGCTTTCAATGTATTAATAAGTGAATTTTAATTTTTTTTTTTTTGTTGAAATGAGATAAAATATTATTAAAAATGGAAGTTTGATGCGGTACGTTAGTATAGGTATTACTGGCGCTATGAGCTACCACTGTCTTTCACCAACACTCGCACATAATCACAATCTTTGTAGAGGCGCCCAGATATGACAGTTTAGACGCCACTCCTAACAGCCAATATCCCAAACCCCACCTCCCTTTAACCCTTTGAGGGTCGACAGGCCCTCTCCAAGACTCGTTCTCAGGGTCAGCCAAATTTAAAAAAAAAAAAAATTCTTATGAAAAGATAGAGAATCTTTTGACACCAAAAGTATGAAATTTGATGGTAAACTTACGGAATCATGCTCTCGCGAAGTTAGCGGTCTCGACGATGTTTACGCATCGGCGATTTTGCCCAATTTGAGCCCTATTTTTGGCCAATTCCAGTGTACTAGTCAACAGAAATCATAACTATTTCTCTAGAACTCTATTTTTTCTATTGAATGAGTAGAAGAAACCACCCATTCACTGATTTCAACTATCCAATACAGTGGTCAGAATTTTGCAATTTTGCCAATTTCACACAAATTTCAAAAGATGCCAATTTCCAAGAATAAACAAGAAAGACATTCCTGGCACTAAAATAACATTTCCTCTGTTTGTTAGTCACATCCCCAGGCCCCTCTTATATTTCTTTGGCTTTCCACTTTCAATTTTTATTCTTACAAAAAATAGAAGATTTACTGTTATGCAGACTGCTGCATTAGTGTAGAAATGGTATAAATAATATCAGCGCACTTGTGAAAGAATATTAGACTCATCAGTTGACGTGTATTGGACGCTTGGCATGATTTGTTTACTTTTGAACTTTGGTAAAAATCGAACATTTCTGCTACTTTGAGCTCAATTTCAAGGTACTTTTCATTGTAAAACCAGTCAAAATCATCTCAATTTCTGTAATATGTCTTCCATTCTATAAAATGAGACCAAGAAAACTAGAATACAACAATAAATACCATACGAAAATACAGTGCAAATTCGCTGTTTTATTCCAAAAACACGGTCAAAGTTTTTTTTCTCATTATGCACTGTGTGCTGCAGGATTTTTTTTATACTGTGCACACTGACCACATAGACCCATTCTTTCATATGTAGGCCTACCAGCTTTCTCCCACTAGATTTGAGGGCGCTAGAATTTAGGCATACTAGTACGTCAAAAACCCTGGGTCGTAAGCCATACTAGTACGGCCGAAACCCTCAAGGGTTAAAGTGCAGGCATTGTCCTTCCCACCTCCAGGGCTCAAGTCTGGCTTACCAGTTTCCCTGAATCCCTTCACAAAATATTACCCCGCTTGCACTACAACAGCTCGTCAGGTCCCAAAAACCATTTGTTTCCATTCACTTAACATATTCACACATGCCTGCCGCAGGTCCAAGCCCCTTGCACACAAAACCTTTTACCCCCCTCCTGCCATCCTTTCCTAGGATGACCCCTACCCCTCCTCCCATCCACTACAGATTTATACACCTTCCAAGTCATCGTATTTTGCTCCATCCTCTCTAAATGACCAAACCACCTCAACAACAACTCTTCAGCCCTCTGAATAATACCTTTAGTAACTCCACACCTCCTCCTAGTTTCCACATCACAAATTCTCTGCATAATATTTACACCAGACATTACTGGCCTTAGTTGCCAGCTGCCTCCTTGCTGCAGCATTTACAACCCATGCTTCACACCCACATAAGAGTGTTGGTACCACTAGACTCTCGTACATTCCCTTCTTTTCCTCCATAAAAAATGTTTTTTTTTGTCTCCACAGATACCTCAATGCCCCACTCACTTTTTTTGCTTCGTCAATTCTATGGTTAACCTCATCCTTCATAAGCCAATCTGCTGACAAGTCTACTCCCAAATATCTGAACACATTCACTTCTTTCATACTCCTTCCCTCCAATGTGACATCAAACTTTTCTTTACGTAACTCATTTGATACCCTCAAGTGCAATAATAACAAGGTCTCTGCACTAGCAGACAAAACTTCACATGCATTAAACCAAAATTGGAATATGCAGTAGTAGTTTTGCATCCACATCTAAACAAATATATAGGTTAAAAATAATAAAAATCCCAAGACCTGCTACATAATGACTCCATGAGCTAAGAAATAAAGACAAAAAGAATAAAGGACGTGTCCTACCAACATACATCATAAGATCATAGGATATGAGAAAGCTAGAAGCCACAACTGTAAACTGTTAATTCTTTACAGTGTGACAAGACTTCTGGAAAGGGATTCAAGAGTTGTTACCTAACTACTGGAAACTTAAGAAATTGTAACATATTAAGTATTACAAAGCCATACAGAAATTAAAACTGGAAAGTGAAAGCTGCAGGAAGCCCTGAGTAGGCTTCAGGAATTTAACTTTAGAAAAAAAGCAGAGCTATTTTTTTTTTTATTATCACACTGGCCTATTCCCACCAAGGCAGGGTGGCCCGAAAAAGAAAAACTTTCACCATCATTCACTCCATCACTGTCTTGCCAGAAGGGTGCTTTACACTACAGTTTTTAAACTGCAACATTAACACCCCTCCTTCAGAGTGCAGGCACTGTACTTCCCATCTCCAGGACTCAAGTCCGGTCTGCCGGTTTCCCTGTGAAGTTCAAAGACAGAAGAAAGGAAAATGAAGACAAAGGCAAGGAGAACAGTAGTTGGAAAGCACTCATAGTATATATTCTTCTATGATATTGTACTCATTTTCTTTTTTACAACAGTAGCTTTTAAAATAAAATTCAAAGTCTGTCCAAGTCATTTTGGAAAGTTGGACTTCACTACATCATAGTACAGTACAGCTAGGTCTTGTCGATTAGTGCAAGTCTGAATAGTTTGAATTTTTATTTAGTTTAAAATAATTAATTCTAGCCCCCCCCCCCTCAATTCTACGAACTGTGCACAAAAATTACATAAACGTAATTCAAAAAGTGCAAATATGAATACTAAAAACTTCACGAGATTCATTAGTTGCACTAACTGATACCTGGCTGTATATCATTCTTCAAAACAAAACATGTTGACATTCACATATTCTAAAAAACAATAATAATAAATATTTCGCTACATTTTAGAAAATTAAACAAAATGACAATTCAAGATGAAATTTACCATCTGTAATGGGAGGAATCTTTATCCTGAAACCTTCAGGGACAATAAGAACTCTCTCTTTGGGCATAACTTTATAGGATCCTACTCTGATGCTCCTGCACTGTACCGATGTGTAAGGTCTTTTCAAGGTTCCATCTAACAAACTTTGGAGGTCAGGTAAACCCCCACCTGTAAATCAAAAAGAAGGCTATGTAGTCAAGATATATAGACATGAAGGGGTTCCATATAATCATTAAGAATACTTTTATATACACTTATCATTTTATTTCAAACAACTTTAACAGGATAGTAACAATACTTATACAGTACATTACAGAACTAAAGTGACTGATGTTAATGTTAACAGGGAACTCTTTTGTAGAACTCAAAAAATAATTTAGCTTACTTTGAACTGTGAAAACTATTAGCACTAATGAAGCTGATAACCACCATTCTAAATTTTCAGAGCCAATTGCTTCCCTTATAGGTGTATAATGGCAGTCAACACCATTGTAAATTTCATCTTACATTATCTACTACAATTAGTCAGATATGACTAATTGTCGATGGGGAGATGGAGGTTTTGGGTAGATGGCGAGAATATTTTGAAGAACTTTTAAATGTCGACGAAGAAAGGGAGGCGGTAATTTCATGCACTGGCCAGGGAGGTATACGATCTTTTAGGAGTGAAGTAGAGCAGGATATGAGTGTGGGGGGAGGTGTGCGAGGCATTATGTATAATGAAAGGGGGTAAAGCAGCTGGAACTGATGGGATCATGACAGAAATGTTAAAAGCAGGGGGGGGATATAGTGTTGGAGTGGTTGGTATTTTTGTTTAATAAATATATGAAAGAGGGGAAGGTACCTAGGGATTGGCAGAAAGCATGTATAGTCCCTTTATATAAAGGGAAGGGGGACAAAAGAAATTGTAAAAATTATAGAGGAATAAGTTTACGGAGTATACCAGGAAAAGTGCACGGTAGGGTTATAATTGAAAGAATTAGATGTAAGACAGAATGTAGGATTGCGGATGAGCAAGGGGGTTTCAGAGTGGGTAGGGGATGTGTAGATCAAGTGTTTACATTGAAGCATATATTATTTTATTTTTTTTATTATCACACCGGCCGATTCCCACCAAGGCAGGGTGGCCCGAAAAAGAAAAACTTTCACCATCATTCACTCCATCACTGTCTTGCCAGAAGGGTGCTTTACACTACAGTTTTTAAACTGCAACATTAACACCCCTCCTTCAGAGTGCAGGCACTGTACTTCCCATCTCCAGGACTCAAGTCCGGCCTGCCGGTTTCCCTGAATCCCTTCATAAATGTTACTTTGCTCACACTCCAACAGCACGTCAAGTATTAAAAACCATTTGTCTCCATTCACTCCTATCAAACACGCTCACGCATGCCTGCTGGAAGTCCAAGCCCATCGCACACAAAACCTCCTTTACCCCCTCCCTCCAACCCTTCCTAGGCCGACCCCTACCCCGCCTTCCTTCCACTCCAGACTGATACACTCTTGAAGTCATTCTGTTTCGCTCCATTCTCTCTACATGTCCGAACCACCTCAACAACCCTTCCTCAGCCCTCTGGACAACAGTTTTGGTAATCCCGCACCTCCTCCTAACTTCCAAACTACGAATTCTCTGCATTATATTCACACCACACATTGCCCTCAGACATGACATCTCCACTGCCTCCAGCCTTCTCCTCGCTGCAACATTCATCACCCACGCTTCACACCCATATAAGAGCGTTGGTAAAACTATACTCTCATACATTCCCCTCTTTGCCTCCAAGGACAAAGTTCTTTGTCTCCACAGACTCCTAAGTGCACCACTCACTCTTTTTCCCTCATCAATTCTATGATTCACCTCATCTTTCATAGACCCATCTGCTGACACGTCCACTCCCAAATATCTGAATACGTTCACCTCCTCCATACTCTCTCCCTCCAATCTGATATTCAATCTTTCATCACCTAATCTTTTTGTTATCCTCATAACCTTACTCTTTCCTGTATTCACCTTTAATTTTCTTCTTTTGCACACCCTACCAAATTCATCCACCAATCTCTGCAACTTCTCTTCAGAATCTCCCAAGAGCACAGTGTCATCAGCAAAGAGCAGCTGTGACAACTCCCACTTTGTGTGTGATTCTTTATCTTTTAACTCCACGCCTCTTGCCAAGACCCTCGCATTTACTTCTCTTACAACCCCATCTATAAATATATTAAACAACCACGGTGACATCACACATCCTTGTCTAAGGCCTACTTTTACTGGGAAAAAATTTCCCTCTTTCCTACATACTCTAACTTGAGCCTCACTATCCTCGTAAAAACTCTTCACTGCTTTCAGTAACCTACCTCCTACACCATACACTTGCAACATCTGCCACATTGCCCCCCTATCCACCCTGTCATACGCCTTTTCCAAATCCATAAATGCCACAAAGACCTCTTTAGCCTTATCTAAATACTGTTCACTTATATGTTTCACTGTAAACACCGGGTCCACACACCCCCTACCTTTCCTAAAGCCTCCTTGTTCATCTGCTATCCTATTCTCCGTCTTACTCTTAATTCTTTCAATTATAACTCTACCATACACTTTACCAGGTACACTCAACAGACTTATCCCCCTATAATTTTTGCACTCTCTTTTATCCCCTTTGCCTTTATACAAAGGAACTATGCATGCTCTCTGCCAATCCCTAGGTACCTTACCTTCTTCCATACATTTATTAAATAATTGCACCAACCACTCCAAAACTATATCCCCACCTGCTTTTAACATTTCTATCTTTATCCCATCAATCCCGGCTGCCTTACCCCCTTTCATTTTACCTACTGCCTCACGAACTTCCCCCACACTCACAGTATTTAGATAAAGGTAGGGAAGTTTTTATTGCATTTATGGATTTAGAAAAGGCATATCATAGAGTGGATAGGGGAGCAATGTGCCAGATGTTGCTAGTATATGGAATAGGTGGTAAGTTACTAAATGCTGTAGAGTTTTTATGAGGATAGTGAGGCTCAGGTTAGGGTGTGTAGAAGAGCGGAAGACTACTTCCTGGTAAAAGTAGGTCTTAAACAGGGATGTGTAATGTCACCATGGTTGTTTAATATATTTATAGATAGGGTTGTAAAAGAAGTAAATGCTAGGGTGTTCGGGAGAGGGGTGGGATTAAATTATGGGGAATCAAATACAAAATGGGAATTGACACAGTTGCTTTTTGCTGATGATACTGTACTTATGGGAGATTCTAAAGAAAAATTGCAAAGGTTAGTTGACAAGTTTGGGAGTGTGTGTAAAGGTAGAAAGTTGAAAGTGAACATAGAAAAGAGTAAGGTGATGAGGGTATCAAATGATTTAGATAAAGAAAAATTGGATATCAAATTGGGGAGGAGGAGTATGGAAGAAGTGAATGTTTTCAGATACGTACTTGGGAGTTGACGTGTCGGCGGATGGATTTATGAAGGATGAGGTTAATCATAGAAAGAGGTTAAGCATAGAATTGATGAGGGAAAAAAGATGAGTGGTGCGTTGAGGTATATGTGGAGACAAAAAAATGTTATCTATGGAGGCAAAGAAGGGAATGTATGAAAGTACAGTAGTACCTACACTCTTATATGGGTGTGAAGCTTGGGTTGTGAAGCATTTATGGATTTAGAAAAGGCATATCATAGAGTGGATAGGGGAGCAATGTGCCAGATGTTGCTAGTATATGGAATAGGTGGTAAGTTACTAAATGCTGTAGAGTTTTTATGAGGATAGTGAGGCTCAGGTTAGGGTGTGTAGAAGAGCGGAAGACTACTTCCTGGTAAAAGTAGGTCTTAAACAGGGATGTGTAATGTCACCATGGTTGTTTAATATATTTATAGATAGGGTTGTAAAAGAAGTAAATGCTAGGGTGTTCGGGAGAGGGGTGGGATTAAATTATGGGGAATCAAATACAAAATGGGAATTGACACAGTTGCTTTTTGCTGATGATACTGTACTTATGGGAGATTCTAAAGAAAAATTGCAAAGGTTAGTTGACAAGTTTGGGAGTGTGTGTAAAGGTAGAAAGTTGAAAGTGAACATAGAAAAGAGTAAGGTGATGAGGGTATCAAATGATTTAGATAAAGAAAAATTGGATATCAAATTGGGGAGGAGGAGTATGGAAGAAGTGAATGTTTTCAGATACGTACTTGGGAGTTGACGTGTCGGCGGATGGATTTATGAAGGATGAGGTTAATCATAGAAAGAGGTTAAGCATAGAATTGATGAGGGAAAAAAGATGAGTGGTGCGTTGAGGTATATGTGGAGACAAAAAAATGTTATCTATGGAGGCAAAGAAGGGAATGTATGAAAGTACAGTAGTACCTACACTCTTATATGGGTGTGAAGCTTGGGTTGTGAATGCAGCAGCGAGGAGGCGGTTGGAGGCAGTGGAGATGTCCTGTCTAAGGGCAATGTGTGGTGTAAATATTATGCAGAAAATTTGGAGTGTGGAAATTAGGAGGTGTGGAGTTAATAAAAGTATTAGTCAGAGGGCTGAAGAGGGGTTGTTGAGGTGGTTTGGTCACTTAGAGAAAATGGATCAAAGTAGAACGACATGGAGAGTATTTAAATATGTAGGGGAAGGTAGGAGGTGTAGGGGTCATCCTCAAAAAGGTTGGAAGGAAGGGGTAAGGGAGGTTTTTGTAGGCAAGGGGCTTGGACTTCCAGCAGGTATGCATGAGCGTGTTCGATAGGAGTGAATGGAGATGAATGGTATTTGGGACCTGACGATCTGTTGGAGTGTGAGCAGGGTAATATTTAGTGAAGGGATTCAGGGAAACCGGTTATTTTTATATAGCTGAACTTGAGTCCTGGAAATGGTAAGTACAATGCCTGCACTCTAAAGGAGGGGTTTCGGGATATTAGCAGTTTGGAGGGATATGTTGTGCATCTTTATACGTATATGGTTCTAAACTGTTGTGTTCTGAGCACCTCTGCAAAAACAGTGATTATGTGTGAGCAAGGTGAAAGTGTTGAACGATGAAAGTATTTTCTTTCTGGGGATTTTTTCTTTATTTTTTGGGTCACCCTGCCTTGGTGGGAGACGGCCGACTTGTAAAAAAAAAAAAAATGACTAATTGTAGTAATAACAGCTACTGAGAACACCAGACAGCAAAAAATATGAGTGAAATTCAGGAAGAAAATGGTTTGTTAGTGTCACAGCAAATAAACTACAGTACATTATTGCCCCCTTATGCATAGATCCAAAAGTTGCAGACAAGTCAGATGTAGAATGAAGATGTGTTGAGTGAAATCCACTAGATCCTGTATTTTTGCTGAAGCCAAACAAAGCCAGATCAAGTGCATCTGAACCATAATTAAACCACTGTTTTCATACACTGCAGTAATTTACAAATGTTAATGCACACCATGCACATGTAATTCAGGGGCTCTGGTGGCCTGGTGGTTAAAGCTCTTGCTTCACACGGTAAGGGCCTGGGTTCGATTCCCAGCCAGAGTAGAAACATTGGGCATGTTTCTTTTCACCTGCTGTCTATGTTCCCCATCAGTAAAATGGGTACCTGGGTGTTAGTCGACTGATGTGGGTTGCATCCTGGGACACTGACCCAATTTGCCCGAAATGTTCAGCATAACAAGGGGCTTTCTATAGAGTAGTATGTTATTCATGTCAGCTAGGCCTGTATGCCATGTACATGTACTTGTAGTAAAATAAAGATATTATTATTATAAGATATTACTTACTGCCACATGTAATACACATACATGCTGTACATAAAACATGATGAAAAATCACAGATTATATTCCAATTAGTCGAAAAATGGACAGCAAAAGCTCTGCAGAGTAGTTAGGCATTCATCATCAGTGCCTGATAGGATGTTAACAGGTAAAATGGCACCTTTACTAGCAGTGAAAATGCTGTAGGAAGGAAAATGGCAGTTGTGGTGGCACTAGCATCTACGAAAAAAAAAGCTCATCCTTAAGGATGAGAATGTATTACCTAGCAATTACATGCTAGCACAAAATATCATTATAACATTTATATTAATGTGAGAACATCTAACATCTACTGAGTGGTTTGAGTATGTTTTATACAAGAAGGCCCTGCCTTACAGCAATTCGTTAACATGGACATTTCAAATTATACGATAAAATTTATTTGTACGGCTCCCTGTTGATGACTTAGTACCAAAATGCTTCTGATAATTGCACTTACGTGTACCTGTACCTAAATAAACTTACTGTGCTGGTGTGCAGGTTCATTAAAATTACTATTTGCCATTCTTACAAAGTAGGAGTAATTATGCCAGGCATGGGAGTAGCTAAGAGTGTCTCACTAGTGTTGGTGATTTGCTTTACTGCAGTAGCCTGGAACCTAACCCGCCATATAAGTGGAGCCCTCCTGTACTCTGTTTGTATTTTATTTCCTCAATTTTTCCAAAGGGAAAACTGATCGAATGAAATATTCAGAATCCCTCATTAAAAATTTTCCTCTATCTTACATAAAATGTTCTACTAGTTAATTATTGATGGTTATTACGTCACCCCAAAAAATGGAAAGCAAGGTAGTGATGACGAAAATAATACCCTAATAATTTATCATTTCATTAATATCCATCGTTATTGTAAGTACCCAGTTCACTTATATATAGATAACAAATATATCACATTTTCTTTCCCAGAATAATGGGGTCAAAGTAACAAACTACAACTCTAATTTATATATTTGACAATTCTAATTTATAGATTTCCATCATCTTTAATTATTGTTTAAATTTTCAGCAAATTCTCAGAAACATTTATTTTTTTTTTTTTTTTTTATTATCACACCGGCCGATTCCCACCAAGGCAGGGTGGCCCGAAAAAGAAAAACTTTCACCATCATTCACTCCATCACTGTCTTGCCAGAAGGGTGCTTTACACTACAGTTTTTAAACTGCAACATTAACACCCCTCCTAATGTCTGCCTGAAATGCATTACAAAAATGTGGACTTTTAAATGCAGTAGAAAAATATGCAAGATAAAACTTATGCAATGCAGGTAAACAGTGTTGAAAATCACTTTCTGCTGCACCCAGACTATCCAAGTGTCAAACAGTAAAGTCCACATGCTCATTCAATCCATAATAAGGCAGATGCTATTTACCTTGTAGAAACAGTAAATAAAAAAAAATTCAACAAGTGTGCACATGGTAAAATAAGAACCAGAAAATTGAAAACAAATAATAAACAAAAGAAAAGGATAAAATATACCAAAATATAATGCAGTACACGAAAGAGAAAAACAATGCGCCCACCAGTAACCGCACCAATATCGGCCTCCTCTGTATCATCAAAATTTTCCATATCTTGTGTAATAATAGGCTCTTTTTGACTAATTGGCTCTTGTTGAACAAATTGTTGACCAGCTTGTGGAGAGTGAGACCCTCCTGTGTATGCCGATCCTGATGAACCACCACCTTCGTCTTCTTCATCCGATGACAAAGTCAGGATTACTGACAAAGGAGAGAAATATCTAAGTAATCAACAGCAAGAGGTCACTTTATGGAGGCTATAGTTAGTATAATCATTAAAAATCACAAAGTATTTTTAACATAAAATGGTTTTTCTAGTTGTCCAACCTGTAATTCCATCCTGTCAATTTTTTATCAATGACTTGTACGTACAATATAGTCAAGCCAAGGCTTAATTAAATAACTTCCTCCACAAATATATTGTTAATTTTTGTCTTGAAAGCTATACTCATTTAAAGACAATCGTGATGAACTTACCTGGTTCTTCGAAGGCCTTGCCTCTTCCTCTGCCTCTCCCTTTAGATTTCTGGGTAGCTGGTGATGCTGATTTTTTCTCCACTCCTTTTCTTGCCCCACCTCCTGTCTTTCCATAGAATTCCTGTTTAGAATGCAAGTCATAAATGACTTCCAAAAACCCTTGAGAAGGGGCTTTCAATTTAACTTAATTCATATAAACTACTGCAAATTCTATAATACTTTTACTTGGTATTAATTGATACTGTACAAGACTAAAAACAACTTATTATTTAACCTAAATATTAGTCCTTGGTAAAATGACAAGGTGAAGGAGTCTAACTAAAATTGACCAGATAAAGCTTTAGTACCTACGTAGTAAGTTGCTAGACAACAACTGCCCAGGAATGTACTACTGTCCTGTTAAGCGAGTGTAAAACGGAAGCCTGTAATTGTTTTACATGGTGGGGGGATTGCTGGTGTCTTTTTTCTGTCTCAAACATGCAAGATTTCAGGTATGTCTTGCTACTTCTACTTACACTTAGGTCACACTACACATGCATGTACAAGCATACATATACACACCTCTGGGTTTTCTTCTCTTTTTCTTAATATTTCTTGTTTATTTCCTCTTATCTCCAAGGGAAAGTGAAATAGAATTCTTCCTCTGCAAGCCGTGTGTGTTGTAAGAGGCGACTAACACGCTGAGAGCAAGGGGCTGTAACTGTCAGTAGTTCTAAAAACAACCTTTCATTTGCTAAATAACAAAAAAAAGGTACAATACCATGACTGGAATGATACATAAATAACCCGCACATTGAAGAGAGGAGCTTACTACTTGTGAATAGTCCAACTTGGACCATTTACAAAGTCCAAGTCAGACCGAAACATCATCATAAGCTCCTCTCTTCTATGTTTGGTTTATCTGTGTTTCATTTGCTAAAAACAACTCTGGTCAAGGACAGCTACTGAATGAGACTTATTTAATCTACATGCCCTACCACATCTCTACAGAGCTATGTACTACTTCGAACTACTGCGGTCTCCTGACATTTCTCTAAATATGTATCCAATTATAGTAGGTTGGTAGACAGCAACCGCCCAGGGAGGTACTACTATCCTGCCAAACGAGTGTAAAACGAAAGCCTGTAATTGTTTTACATGATGGTAGGATTGCTGGTGTCCTTTTTTCCGTCTCATGAACATGCGAGATTTCAGGTACGTCTTGCTACTTCTACTTACACTTAGGTCACACTACACATACATGTACAAGCGTATATATACATACCCCTCTGGGTTTTCTTCTATTTTCTTTCTAGTTCTTGTTCTTGTTTATTTCCTCTTATCGCCATGGGGAAGTGGAACAGAATTCTTCCTCCGTAAGCCATGCGTGTTGTAAGAGGCGACTAAAATGCCAGGAGCAAGGGGCTAGTAACCCCTTCTCCTGTGTATATTACTAAATTTGAAAGGAGAAACTTTCGTTTTTCCTTTTGGGCCACCCCGCCTCGGTGGGATATGGCTGGTGTGTTGAAAGAAGGAAAGAAGTATCCATTTATAGCCTTTTTTTTTTTTTTTACACTGAAGCAGGGTGACCCAAAAAGAAAGAAAATCCCCAAAAAGAAAATACTTTCATCATCATTCAACACTTTCATCTCACTCACACAAAATCACTGTTTCTGCAGAGGTGCTCAGAATACAACAGTTTAAAAGTATATACATATAAAGATACACAACATATCCCCCCAAACTGCCAATATCCCAAACCCCTCCTTTAAAGTGCAGGCATTGTAATTCCCATTTCCAGGACTCGAGTCCGGCTATATAAAAATAACCAGTTTCCCTGAATCCCTTCACTAAATATTACCCTGCTCACACTCCAACAGCTCGTCAGGTCCCAGATACCATTTGTCTCCATTCATTCCTATCTAACGCTCACGCACCCTTGCTGGAAGTCCAAGCCCCTCACCCACAAAACCTCCTTTACCTCGTCCCTCCAACCTTTTCGAGGACGACCCCTACCCCGCCTTCCTTCCCCTACAGATTTATATGCTCTCCATGTCATTCTACTTTGATCCATTCTCTCTATATGACCAAACCACCTCAGCAAACCCTCTTCAGACCTCTGACTAAACTACTAATACTATTACTAAAGGAGAAAGCCCTCTATAGGTATCCAAATTCATCATGTATCTTACTAGATCTAAATCTACAGACTACAAAATATCATACAAAATAAAATAGATTTAAAGCATTAAATATTTTGCTAAATTACTAATTCAAAGAGCTTAAAAATTATATATATAAAAAAATCAGGTGATTACCTGTTTTGACAATGGTACTGGAAGTGAAATCCCTCTATTAGAAATTGCCTGTGAATCACTGGTGGAGGTTTTGATGGAAGTTGTAGTTTGTGCTGAAGGAAGAGTTCGCACACTGTTAGGTAACCTGTGATTACACCTTTGGCAGCGATTTAGGTCCTCACTCAGTATGCCACAGTTGCTACATACCGCCACACGGCCAGCAATGTATCTAGGCTTATCTGTCTGCAAGTTGAAAATACAAATGTTTAGAAGACAATAATATAATTAGTTAGACTTTATTAAATGAAACCCTTTATTATGCAAATTACAGAATTAAATTCCCACCAAGGCAGACTAGGCCAAACAAAGAAAACATTCACCATCATTCATTACAAGGCTGTCTCTCTGGAGGTGAACAAGGATCATGATTCAAATGACTCATCATAAAGCCACAAGATCCCCCAACCCATCTTCCAAAGTGCAGGAATTGTACTTCCCACCTCCAAAACTAAAACCTAACTATCCTTTGACTCACGAAATCCTAATGACACGATTGCAAACAAACCATACCCTGGCCGGGATTGAATCCCATCCGTGATTTGATAATGCTCTAGGGAAGACTAGAGTTTTCTCTTGAGAGGGTGAGTTTTGTGTGTATTGTTTAACCTAACTTAACCACCACCTATTTCCCTCATTTATACACCCTTATGATTAACCTATCTTGCTTCACTTTTCTACATGAATAATATAATGCTTGCTGCATTATATCATTCACACATAATTTCTTCTCTCCCTATTTCCTATAAAATATTTACCCTACACAGATCTCAAAAATGACTTCTTGATTGCTTCCAGCCCCCTCCTCACTAATAGTTAAGGATCATGCCTCACACCAATACACAAGTGTTTGCACTGCTATACTCTCATATATTCCCTTTTTTATGCATCCACTGACAAACTTTTCCTTTAGAAAGACTCAATGGTGAACTACATATTCTCTCCTCATTTATTCATGATTCACTTATATTTACTAATTATGACACACAAATTAATAAAATAAAATGTAAAGCACATGATAATGACATTAGCAAACACTAGTTACAGAAGGTCAGTTAACTAATTCATTGGTATGACTGCTTTTAAACAGATCAAATTTATTTTCAAAAGTCATTTTGTTCTTACCTCAATTGACCTACAATCTTTTAATATTATCAAGGAAAATGTAATCAAAGTACAGTACTTCACATTAATTTTTTCTTTACTGCATGCAGACTAACTTCTCTAAGACTGACTTACTGGATCTTTGTCTTTTTGTTCTGCAGGTACTGTTGAATGGACAGATTGTTCTTGAATTGGAGAAGATACAGAGGTTGAATTTGTGGACCCAACACCAGAGGAAGAAACTGTTATGGAGGGAGATGCTAGGGTTGACCCAGTAGATGAAGACTGTAAATTTGTACCAGCTGTTCCTGATAATACAACTCCATCTTCATGTTTCACAGTTAAAACTGGGTTACCACCTGCTGAAGACGTGCTCAAGTTTGTCGACCTGCATAATGAGCTGAAGTAAATATATTCATAAAACATAAAATTCTCAGGAACATTTATGTAATATAATATTTATATAACTAGCTTATTATAAGTTTAAGATATGTTGTGTATCTTTATACATATATGCTTCTAAACTGTTGTGGTCTGAGCACCTTTGCAAAAACAGTGATTATGTGTGAGTGAGGTGAAAGTGTTGAATGATGAAAGTATTTTCTTTTTGGGGATTTTTTCTTTCTTTTTGGGTCACCCTGCCTCGATGGGAGACAGCTGAATTGTTAAAAAAAAAAAAAAAATCATAAAAGCTCATCAAATATACAAAACAATGTACAAAGTCAGAAATTATTATCATTGGCTTGCCAGAGGTGTACTTACAGTTATAAAATTGCAACATCCCCCACCCCTCCAGAGAGCAGACACTGTACTTCCCATCTCCAGGACTCAAGTCTGGCCAGCCGGTTTCCCTGACTTCCTTCATAAATGTTACCTTGCTCACGCTCCAACAGCACGTCAAGTCCTAAAAATCATTTGTCTCCATTCACTCCTATCTAACACCCTCACGCATGCTTGCTGGAAGTCAAAGCCCCTCACACAGAAAACCTCCTTTACCCCCTCCCTCCAACCTTTCCTATGCCGACCCCTACCTCACCTTCCCTCCACTACAGATTTATACACTCTCGAAGTCATTCTACTTTGTTCCAACATCTCTACATGTCCAAACCACCTCAACAACCCCTCCTCAGCCCTCTGGATAATAGTTTTGGTAATCCTGCACCTCCTCCTAATTTTCAAACTACAAATTCTCTGCATTATATTCACACCACACATTACCCTCAGACATGACATCTCCACTGCCTCCAGCTTTCTCCCTGTTGCAACATTCACCACCCATGTTTCACACCCACTTATAGAGTGCTGGTATAACTATACTCTCATACATTCCCCTCTTTGCATCCATGGACAAAGTTCTTTGTCTCCACAGATTCCTAAGTGTGCCACTCACCTTTTTCCCCTCATCAATTCTATGATTCACCTCATCTTTCATAGACCCATCTGCTAACACATCCACTCCTAAATATCTGAATACATTCACCTCCTCCATACTCTTTCCCTCCAATCTGACATCCAATCTTTTATCACCTAATTTTTTTTATCCTTGTCACCTTTCTCTTTTCTATATTCACTTTTAATTTTCTTCTTTTACATGCCCTACCAAACTCATCCACCATATTTTCAAAGAAAATATGATTGCTGACATCACATGTTTACACTCCAACTGCAACATTCCCCACCCCCCTTCAAAGTGAAGGTACTGCCCTTCCCATCTCCAGGACTCAAGTCCACAAAATACTCCACCAAAGAGAAGGTACAAAAGAACAAGATAGTTACCAAAAGAGGCTCAAGAACACAATATGAATGAAAGATCTAGGGCTCATCACTAGCAATTTCACAAAGATAATGAAAAACATGTAATTATATGGTTTTACTTACACTGCAGTTGTAATGGTGGACAAAGTAGGACTATGAGTATGTTGAGCAACAGTTGTTGTAATAGTATGACCCATGGGAATGACGGCCAGCACCTTCTTGCCGTCGGGACGTTCCACATAATAGTACTGCTGCTTCAAGGCATTGTTCGTTGACACAGGTCTGAGAGTAAAATAGTCATTCTTCTCATTTGTTAAGGAGTTGTTCTAAAGATTAAAGATTATCGCTTACATTTAGAATACTGCATAATTACACATTGCACACCTGAAAAAATAAAGCAGAGTGATGGATACGAAGTTAATTAATTGTCCAAACTGCAGCATCCCTGCACAACTTTCAGTATACAGGTGGTGTACTTCCCACCTCCAATACTGTACATGAATCCTACTAACTGGTTTTCCCCAAATTTTTTTGTAGATGCTACCTTGCTCACACTCAGGTCAAATCCCAAACACCACTTACTACAATCTTACATGTTCACACATGGCTGCTAAATACTCATGACCTTGCCTCTCAAAACTTCATTTACAGCCTTCCTTCAACCCGTCCTGGTACAATACCTTCCATCCATGACCAATTCATACAGCCTCTTTGCCATCCTATCCTAATCTATTCTTTCTAAATGACCCAACCATTTTGACAATCCTCTCCTCTACTTCCTGAATTCCAACCAAGCCATTATCTTTTATATTTTTTTCTCTGCATAATGTTCACACAACATTCATCTCTAACACAGTGCCACTGCTTCATTCACCCTCCCTTCTACAGCATTCAGAGACCGTGCCCCTCCCTCATACAACAGTCATGGCATCATTATACTCCAATACTTCCATTTTATTAAATCCATTGATCAATTTCTTTTTCAAAAATAACCTCTGCATACCTGCATTTTCTCATTTATTATTCATTTCAATTTTCATGGACCCATCTGCTGACATATGCACTTTCAAATACCTTAATAAGTATGTATGTATAGATTTTTTTTTAACACATCGGCTGACTCCCACCAAGGCAGGGTGGCCTGAAAAGGAAAAACTTTCATCATCATTCACTCCATCACTGTCTTGCCAGAGGGGTGCTTTACACTACAGTTATAAAACAGCAACATTAACACCCCTCCTTCAGAGTGTAGACACTGTACTTCCCATCTCCAGGACTGAAGTCCGGCCTGCCAGTTTTCCTGAATCCCTTCATAAATGTTACTTTGCTCACACTCCAACAGCACGTCAAGTATTAAAAACTATTTGTCTCCATTCACTCCTATCAAACATACTCATGCATGCTTGCTGGAAGTCCAAGCCCCTCGCACACAAAACCTCCTTTACCCCCTCCCTCCAACCCTTCCTAGGCCGAGCCCTACCTCGCCTTCCTCTTGAAGTCATTTCGTTTTGTTTCATTCTCTCTACATGTCCGAACCACCTCAACAACCTCTCCTCAGCCCTCTGGATAATAGTTTTGGTAACCCCACACCTTTTCCTAATTTCCAAACTACAAATTCTCTGCATTATATTCACACCACACATTGCCATCAGACATGACATCTCCACTGCCTCCAGCCTCCTCCTTGTTGTAACATTCATCACCCATGCTTCACACCCATAAAAGAGTGTTGGTACAACTATACTCTCATATATTCCCCTCTTTGCTTTCATGGACAAAGTTCTTTGTCTCCACAGACTCTTAAGTGCACCACTCACCCTTTTCCATTATTTTCTCTCTAACTATAATATCCAATCTTTCATTGCCTAAACTATTTCCTACTCAATATTTCATGCAAAGATTAACTGTATACATGGTAGCACCCCAACCACCTTCCACTTTATTCTCCATGTATTCTCATAGCCCATTTAGCATCTTTCATATATTTATTTCTTACTCCTTTTCAAATATTTATATCACATGCTTCTTTCTTAACACTGGCTGTTTCTCACCAAGAAATTACCTCAAACATATAAAAAGTAGGTAATAAATCTTTCCTTCAACAGTGAGTGATGACAACGGAATACATGTTGATACAGTGCTGCTAGGATTGAGAAAATTTGAAATTGAGGGCAAACTAAACAAAAAAGACTGAAAAAAAGCACTGCTCTAAATAACTTAATTACAAGGTTCTGAAAAAGAGTTCTGCTTGCATTTGGGTCGTGCTGCACATGCATGTGCAAGCATGTATATTCATGCCCCTTATGGGTTTTCTTCTGTTTTCTTACTAGTTCTTGTTTACTTCCACTTGTCTCCATGGGGAGGTGGAACAGAGTTCTTCCTCCGTGGGCCGTGTGTGTCGTGGGGGGCGACTAAAGTGCCGGGAGCAAGGGGCTAGTAACCCCTTCTCCTGTATATATTACTAAATATAAAAGGAGAAACTTTCGTTTTTCCTTTTCAGCCACCCCGCCTCGTTGGAATAAGCCGGTGTGTTGAAAGAAAAGAGTTCAGTGTTCAAACATACAAATGACTAGGGATAGGACGATGCCAAAATTTCTGCTGATGCCAATCGTTTTAGGTTTATATTAATACCATTAATATTACCAGATACCCAATACTACCAATACCATCAAAATTATACTCAATTTAAGGCCAATACTACCAAAATTAGCATTTATCCACTAATACCGATACTTTGGTGGTATTAGATATCGCTCCAAACAGCCAATATCCCAAACCCCTACTTTAAAGTGCAGTCACTGTACTTCCAACCTCCAGGACTCAAGTCCAGCTAACAGGTTTCCCTGAATCCCTTCACAAAATATTACCCTGCTCACACTCCAAAAGCATTCGTCTCCATTCACTCATATCTAACATTCTCACACACGTCTGCTGTGTGTCCAGGCCCCTTGCACACAAAACCTCTGTCACTCCCTCCCTCCATCCTTTTCTAGTGCAACCCCTACCCTTCCTCCCTTCCACTAGTACAGATTTATACACCCTCCGAGTCATCCTATTTTGCTTCAACCCTTCTCCAGCCCTCTGAATAATACTTTTAGTAACTCCACACCACCTCCTAATTTCCACACTATGAATTCTCTGCATAACATTTACACCACATTGCCCTTAGACACAACATCACTACCTCCATCCTCCTTTTTGCTACAGCATTTACAACCCATGTTTCACATCCATATAAGAGTGTTTATACCACATTATTCTCATACATTCCCTTCTTTACCTCCATGGATAATATTCTTTCTTCACAGATAAAATGCACCACCCACCCTTTTTCCTTCAGCAATTCATGGTTTACCTCAACCTTCATAAACCCATCAACCCAAATATCTGCATTCACTTTTATACTCAATCCCTTCAGTGTGATATTCAATTTTTCTCTGCCTAACTCATTAGATAACCTCATCATCTTAATCTTATCTATGTTCACTTTCAACTTTATTCCTTTACATACCTTCCCAAACTCGTCCACCAACCTTCGCAATTTCTCTTTAGAATCTCCCAAATGCACAGTATCATCACCAATAAGTAACCGTGTCAACTCCCATTTTGTATTTTATTTCCCATATTTTAATACCACCCCTCTCCCCAACACCCTAGCATTTACTTCTTTTACAACCCCATCTATAAATATGTTAAACAAACATGGGGACAGTACACTTCCCTAAGGCCTACTTTTACTGGAAAGCAATCTCCCTTTCTCCTACACACCCTAAGTACTGACCCTAAATTATTTTTGTTGCTCTTATTACCCACAAAATTACCCTCTCAAAAACAAAAAATAAAAAATATCTGAAGTGCTAGCAGAGATACAGAGATCAAAACTATGACAGTTAAAGGGTTAAGACTGTCAAAATATACTAAAACTTGAATAGCATTTCATAACAGAGTAAGAGACTTACATTCTGACTTCTTCGCTACAGGATGCTACTTGAGCTGGCCCAACTAACTTATGATGCTGTTGTTGCTGCTGCTGTTGATGTTTAAGCTCATGGGACATTCTCTGGCGATACTGACTTAACGACAACTTTTTGGATGGAGTCGTGGCCTGTTAAGCATCATGTAAACAAACGTTAATAAATTTTTAAAAGCATTTAGGAGAGTAGTATTTTATTGTACTAATATACTTAACACTAAGGATCAAAAACTTTTCCAGACACTTATAGACTGATCGATCAAGCTATTAGTGTCTGGATCAATCGACTGATAGACCCTTACCTTGCCTTCCCTCCACTACAGATTTATACACCCTCCAAGCCATCTTGAGTTCTATCCTCTCTAAATGTCCGAACCACCTCAACAAACTTTGTAAAACAATTAAATTAAAATTTTATCATCATAATTAAGACCACTATAGAACATGTTACCTCCAGTTTCATCACTGCATATATAGAGACTAGGTATTTTGGGTGTAGGTTAGAAATAAAGTTACTGAATGAACATTCCGCATCAGCTGGCTACTGGATTATCAGCAAATTTGGAGAAGTCCAAAAACTTGGAACAAAGGTTAAACATGGGTATCAATTTAATAAGTGTACCAACCCGGAATTTTGAAATGAGAAAGTTGTGTGTCTAGGTATAATTACTACAATAAATTCCAAATGAGCCACAGCTAACCAAAATTGATGAGAGGTGAAGAACACGTGCAGCGATTATTCACTTCCAAAACCAGTGAACAACAATGGACTAATCAGTTTCGTCTAAGTGTTTTCTAGTGAAGCTTAACCCTTTGATTGTTTCCGTTGTATATATACGTTTTATGAGCCACCGTGTTTGACATATATATACGTATACTCATAAATTTTAGCAGCTTCAAATCAAGCAGGAGAAAGCTGATAGGCCCACATGTGAGAGAATGGGTCTGTGTGGTCAGTGTGCACCATATAAAAAAATCCTGCAGCACACAGTGCATAATGAGAAAAAAACTCTGACCGTTTTTTTTTTAATTAAAATGCCGATTTTGTGGTCTATTTTCGTATAGTATTTATGGTTGTATTCTCGTTTCCTTGGTCTCATTTGAAAGAATGGAAAACATGTTATAGAAATAGAGGTGATTTTGATTGGTTTTACTATGAAAAGAACCTTGAAATGGAGCTAAAAGTAGGGGAAATGTTTAATTTTTGCCAATGTTCAAAAGTAAACAAATGATGTCATTTTCCAATAAATGTCCAAGTAGCCATTCTAATATGCAGTCATGAATGGGTTGACATTATTTATACAATTATGACAATTTTGCAGTAGTCTGCATAACAGTAAATCTTTTATTTTTTGTTTGAATAAAAATTCAAAATAGAAAGCAAGAGTAAAATCAGAGGGGCCTGGAGACGTGACTGATGAACAAAGAAAATGTTATTTTAGAGCCAGGAATGCCTGCATTGTTCATTCTGGTCCCTATTTTTAAACTGTCATATTTTTTAATTTTCATGAAATTGGCCAAATTACAAATTTCTGACCACGTTATTGGGCAGTTAAAATTGATAAATGGGCAGTTTCTTGTACTCAATCGATAGAAAAAATAGAGTTCTAAAGAAATAGCTACGAGTTTGGTCGACTGGAACAATGGAATTAGCCAAAAATAGGGCTCAAAGTAAGTGAAATAGCCGATTCGTAAATATCGCTGAGCTCGCTAACTTCACAAGAGCGTAATTCCATCAGTTTTGGATCAAATTTTCTTCTTTTGGTGTCATTACAATGGAGAAAAGATTCTCTATCATTTCATTGGATTTTTTTTTTTTTTTTTTTTTGGAAATTTTGCGACACCAGGAGACACTTCAGGATTTGGGGTTGCGACAGTCAAGGGGTTAAACACCACAAACGTGAAACAGTCATACCTGCGGAGGAATCTGCTTCTGCTGCTGTTCTTGTGACTGTGATGCAACACTGGTGGATAGGATGCTAGTTGCACCACACACAACGGGCTGAGTAACATGCACTCCTGTTACCTGGTAATTAAAAATGTACATATAGCAATACACACAAGCACACATTTAAAATACACTGAACCAATGATTAAATGGATTAATTTAGGAGTGGGGGTAGGTTGGGGATGGGGGGGGTGGCTAAAGCCAATTCTCCATTAAATTTTAACAAAATTTTTCCACAAGAGTAACAGTAACAGACAATTTCATATTCAATGGACTAAATCCATTAACCCTTTGACTGTTTTGGTCGTATATATACATCTTACGAGCCAGTGTTTCGGACGTATATATACTCAATAATTCTAGCAGGTTCAAATCAAGCAGGAGAAAGCTGGTAGGCCCACATGTGAGAGAATGGGTCTGTGTGGTCAGAGCACACCACAAAAAAATCCTGCAGCAAGCAGTGCATAATGAGAAAAAAAAGTGACAGTCTTTTTTGGATTAAAACGCCAACTTTGAGGTGCATTTTCGTACAGTATTTATCGTTGTATTCTAGTTTTCATGGTCACACGTGATAAAACGGAAAACATATTGCAGAAATAGAGATGATTTTGATTAGTTTCACGATGAAAACGATCTTGAAATTGAGCTCAAAGTAGCAGAAATATTTGATTTTTACCATTGTTCAAGAGTAAGCAAATCACATCACACATCCAATACACATAAACTGGGGAGTCTATTATTCTTTCACTAGTGCACTGATATTATTTATACCATTTTTACAATAATGCAGTAGTCTGCGTAACAGTAATTTTTTTTTTTTTTTTTTTTATGAATAAAAAATCAAAATACAAAGCAATACTAATATATGAGGGGCCTAGAGACGTGACTAATGAACAGAGGATACGTTATTTTAGTGCCAAGAATGTATACATTGTTTATTCTGAACCCAATTTTGAAATTGGCATCTTTTTTAATTTCCAAGAAATTGGCCAAATTGCCAATTTCTGACCACTTTATTTTTTTTTTTAACAAGTCAGCCGTCTCCCACCAAGGCAGGGCGACCCAAAAAGAAAGAAAATCCTCAAAAAGAAAATACTTTCATCATTCAAAACTTCCACCTCACTCACACATGATCACTGTTTTAGCAGAGGTGCCCAGAATACAACAGTTTAGAAGCATATACGTATAATGATACACAACATATCCCTCCAAACTGGCATAATCCCGAACCCCTCCTTAAGAGTGGAGGCATTGTACTTCCCATTTCCAGGACTCGAGTCTGGCTTTATAAAAAAAACCGGTTTCCCTGAATTTTTTTTTTTTTTTCAACAAGTCGGCCGTCTCCCACCGAGGCAGGGTGACCCAAAAAAGAAAGAAAATCCCCAAAAAGAAAATACTTTCATCATCATTCAACACTTTCACCACACTCACACATTATCACTGTTTTTGCAGAGGTGCTCAGAATACAACAGTTTAGAAGCATATACAGTGGACCCCCGCATAACGATTACCTCCGAATGCGACCAATTATGTAAGTGTATTTATGTAAGTGCGTTTGTACGTGTATGTTTGGGGGTCTGAAATGGACTAATCTACTTCACAATATTTCTTATGGGAACAAATTTGGTCAGTACTGGCCCCTGAACATACTTCTGGAGTGAAAAAATATCGTTAACCCGGGGTCCACTGTACGTATAAAGATACACAACATATCCCTCCAAACTGCCAATATCCCAAACCCCTCCTTTAAAGTGCAGGCATTGTACTTCCCATTTCCAGGACTCAAGTCCGACTATATGAAAATAACCGGTTTCCCTGAATCCCTTCGCTAAATATTACCCTGCTCAAACTTCAACAGCTCAGCTGATCCCAAATACCATTCGTCTCCATTCACTCCTATCTAACATGCTCACGCACGCCTGCTGGAAGTCCAAGCCTCTCACCCACAAAACCTCACTTACACCTTCCTTCCAACCTTTTTGAGGACAACCGCTACCCCACCTTCCTTCCCCTACCGATTTATACGCTCTCCATGTCATTCTACTTTGATCCATTCTCTCTAAATTACCAAACCACCTCAACAACCCCTCTGACTAATACTTTTATTAACTCCACACCTTCTCCTAATTTCCACTCTGAATTTTCTGCATAATATTTACACCACACATTGCCCTTAAACAGGACATCTCCACTGCCTCCAACCACCTCCTCGCTGCTGCATTTACAACCCAAGCTTCACACCCATATAAGACTGTTGGTACTACTATACTTTCATACATTCCCTTCTTTGCCTCCATAGATAATGTTTTTTGTCTCCATATATATCTCTACGCACCACTTTCCTTTTTTCCCTCATCAATTCTATGATTAACCTCATCCTTCATAAATCCATCTGCTGACACCTCAACTCCCATGCAGAATCTGAAAACATTCACATCTTCCATACTCCTCCTCCCCAATTTGATATCCAATTCTTCTTTATCTAAATCATTTGATACCCTCATCACCTTACTCTTTTCTATGTTCACTTTCAACTTTCTACCTTTACACACACCCAAACTAGTCCACTAACCTTTGCAATTTTTCTTTAGAATCTCCCATAAGCACAGTATCATCAGCAAAAAGCAACTGTGTCAATTCCCATTTTGTATTTGATTCCCCATAACTTAATCGCACCCTTCTTCCGAACATCCTAGCATTTACTTCTTTTACAACCCTAACTATAAATATATTAAACAACCATGGTGACATTACACATCCCTGTCTAAGACTACTTTTACCAGGAAGTAGTCTCTCTCTCTTCTACATACACTAACTGGAGCCTCACTATCCTCATAAAAACTCATTACAGCATTTAGCAACTTACCACCTATTCCATCTACTTGCAACATCTGCCACACTGCTCCTCTATCCACTCTATCATAAGTGGTTGGTATTTTTGTTTAAAAAATGCATGAAAGAGGGGAAGGTACCTATTGATTGGTGGAGAGCATATATAGTCCCTTTATATAAAGGGAAGGGGGACAAAAGAGATTGTAAAAATTATAGAGGAATAAGTTTACTGAGTATACCAGGAAAAAGTGTTAGGTAGGGTTATAATTGAAAGAATTAGAGGCAAGACTGAATGTAGGATTGCAGATGAGCAAGGAGGTTTTAGAGTGGGTAGGGGATGTGTAGATCAAGTGTTTACATTGAGGCATATATGGGAGCAGTATTTAGATAAAGGTAGGGAAGTTTTTATTGCACTTATGGATTTATCTAAATACTGTTCACATATATGCTTCAATGTAAACACTTGATCTACACATCCCCTACCCACTCTAAAACCTCCTTGCTCATCTGCAATCCTACATTCAGTCTTGCCTCTAATTCTTTCAATTATAACCCTACCTAACACTTTTTCCTGGTATACTCAGTAAACTTATTCCTCTATAATTTTTACAATCTCTTTTGTCCCCCTTCCCTTTATATAAAGGGACTATACATGCTCTCTGCCAATCCCTAGGTACCTTCCCCTCTTTCATACATTTATTAAACAAAAATATCAACCACTCCAACACTATAACCCCCCCCGCCCCAGCTTTTAACATTTCTGTCATGATCCCGTCAGTTCCAGCTGCTTTACCCCTTTTCATTTTACGTAATGCCTCATGCACCTCTCCCACACTCACAACCTGTTCTTCTTCACTCCTAAAAGATGGTATACCTCCCTGGCCAGTGCATGAAATTACCGCCTCCCTTTCTTCGTTGACATTTAAAAGTTTCTCAAAATATTCTCGCCATCTACTCAATACCTCCATCTCCCCATCTACTAACTCCCCTACTCTGTTTTTAACTGACAAATCCATTCATTCCCTAGGCTTTCTTAACTTGTTTAACTCACTCCAAAAATTTTTCTTATTTTCATTAAAATTTCTTGACAGTGCCTCTCCCACTCTATCATCTGCTTTCCTTTTGCACTCTCTCACCACTCTCTTCACCTTTCTTCTACTCTGCATATACTCTACTCTTCTTATAACACTTCTGCTTTGTAAAAATCTCTCATAAGCTAACTTTTTCTCTTTTATCACACCCTTTACTTCATCATTCCACCAATCACTCCTCTTTCCTCCTGCATCCACCCTCCTGTAACCACAAACTTCTGCCCCACATTCTAATACTGCATTTTTAAAACTATTCCAACCCTCTTCAACCCCCCCCCCACTACTCATACTTGCACCAGCCCACCTTTCTGCCAATAGTTGCTTATATCTCAGCCGAACTTCCTCCTCCCTTAGTTTATACACTTTCACCTCCCACTTACTCGTTGTTGCTATTTTCCTCTTTTCCCATCTACCTCTTACTCTAACTGTAGCTACAACTTAATAATGACACGATATATCAGTTGCCCCTCTATAAACGTGTACATCCTGGAGCCTACCCATCAACCTTTTATCCACCGCCTACCCATCAACCTTTTATCCACCAATACATAATATAACAAACTACTTTCATTACGTACTATATCATACCTTGTATATTTATTTACCCTCTTCTTCATAAAATATGTATTACTTATTACCAAACCTCTTTCTACACATAAAACAATTAACCCTTTCAGGGTCTGTGCCATAGATCTACGGCTTTACGTTCAGAGCCCGAACTGTAGATCTACGCCATGAGCTCAGCTCACTCTGATAAGCTGTGAACAGTAAATTTGGGCCTAGATATGAGACAATACATCTATGTGGTATGTGTACACCACATACAACAAATCCTGCAGCAGACAGTGCATAATGAGAGGAAAAGAACCGAGACCGTAATTTTCGATTAAAACAGCGACTTTGCAGTATTTTTTCGTATGTTTTTTATAGTTGTATTTGCAATTTCTTGGTCTCATTTGATGGAATGGAATATATACTACAGAAATGGAGATGATTTTGAATGGTTTTAGAACTGGAAATGGCTTGAAACCGAGCTCAAATTAGCAGAAATGTTAAATTTTTGACGATGTTGAGGAGTAAACAAATGACCTCACAAGTCTAATACACGACAGCTGGTGGGTCTAATATACGTTCACAAATGTGCTGATATTATTT